GGCCGCGAGGGTGACTGGTGAGAAAGACCACGTGTGCATTTTGCTATATTTCAATTTGGGAATAGGACTTTTTGTATGATACCTTCCCATCTATTTCCATGCACGAAGCTTTTAGACGTAGGTGTCATTGTTGGCCAAGAAACAAAAGGTGACACATTTTTTAGGTTTACTATTCAACCTTGATTGGTAAACAGTGAGTGTGATATGTGGTTCAAATTAGAGAAACGTGGAGAGTTGGAGAGTCGTATTTTATGTTAGGCATATACATGACTTCGCGCATGTTTAATTTTATACTTCAACTACGCATATAATACTTTTGTGATTAAATGGGCAATTATGTAACCTCCTTTCTTTTTCTCAAATCTAATTTTAACTTCTAAATAAGAAAAAAAAAATCAAATCAATTAATAGAGCTGAAATGTAGAAAATATGCAAGGAAGACAGCTCATGAGAAGCAAGGAGGCAATGTCCTTTAGCAACCTTATTCCAATTTTGAAGAGCAAATTTGTTTCTTTTTTCTTTTTTCTTGATGACAGGGGACAAATGATTTGAACTCTCTAATTTAGAAAGGCTTGCTAGCATTTGCAGAAAAGAACCAGAAAAAAAAGAGTTGTAATACTTTTGTGTGTGAGAGAGAGAGAGAGAGAGAGAGAGAGACCTTGGTTTCAATTTCCAGCTCTGCTGAAAACTCCTGGGCAGAGAAATTAGATTGAACATTTCTGGCTTTCAACCCCAAATATTGCAAGCACCTAAGAACCTCCAGCATAGAATCAACCCCTGATGTTGGATTTGCCACCCTTAATCTAATCTTGCTCCAATTCACTCGCTCCTTTTCGTTTGCCACCAAAATGGCTTCAACCTCCATGTTCCTCTTTCTCAGCTCCTCCTTATACCTCTGCAGCTGCTGAATATTCATGGCTGTCATTTGCACAATCCAGTTCTTATCACTCTGCAAAAATGCAACACAATATTTTTTTTAGTCCTTCCTCATTTTAAATCACACGAAAAAAAGTACAGATGACAATTTTGGAGTAGTGAGACAGCTCTCAATAATTTAATTTAATTGATTAAACACCAACCTT